AGAGAGAGAGAGAGAGAGAGAGAGAGAGAGAGAGAGAGAGAGAGAGAGAGAGAGAGAGATCGCAAGAAAGAGAAGAGAGAGAGACCGGGGTTGCAAAGGAGAGAGACAGAGAGAGGGAGGGAGGGAGGGAGGGGGGGGGAGAGGGAGAGAGAGAAGTGAGACAGAAGAGAGATCTTATACCCCGTAAGTCTGGCCGTACATCACATAGGCCCCGGTGATGGGTGGTGGGGGCTGCGGCGGGAGATCCCAGTCCTCTCCTCCTATCTCGCCGGCTGAATCCGGTCCCTTGGTCTTGTCTGCATCTTCATCGCTCCTCCCATCCTCCTCTCCCTCCTCTTCGTCCGACTTGAAATGCTTGTACAGTCGGTAGAACGGCGGTGGTGGTGGATATGCCGACGCGGCCATGATGTGGAACGACCGACCTGGCAGAGCAGGTAATTGCAGCGTGACACCTGGCGGCTTAATGCCACCCTTTCACTCGCACTGACACGTAGTCTTTTATCCAGCGTCGTCGCGATCTCTTCGTCCCGACCTTCCCTCCCCTCACCTACCGGTAGTCATCGCTCTCCTTGTCCTTTTTCCGTACAACCCCCCCTCCTTCGTTCCAGGCCCCATTCGACCGAATTATTAGGCCCTAGTTGCACTACTCGCCATCCGCCAAGATTTCGAATGCATATGGACAAAATGATGTCCACAGGCAATCAAAATGTTGCCGGATGGCGAGTAGTGCGACGAGGCCCTTACCCTTACTCGCTCCTGCCCGTCCAGATGAGGCAGATCGGGCAGATCGACGGACAAAGGCCCGGACCCCACAGGCATGCGGAAAAGCGCAGGTTTTGGCGCGGAGGGGTTTTTAAAGACCCCACAGGGGGTCGGGGAACTTCAGCTTCCGTTAACTCGCTGTAGCATGGCCCCTGCTCTTTCAAGGATGACACGCATAAATCGAGAAATGGTTCAAAAAAAAAAAAAAAAATGATGGCGGAATCTTCTGTGGCACCCCAGAATTCCGAAAAAAAATGCCGAAGTTACATGGTAGGTCCCAGGGCCTCCGTGGAGGAAGGAGGCATCGGGTGTGTGGACCTTGAACGGACATCCGCAGGAACGAAAGTAGCGGATGTGGTGGGGGAGTATGGGCAGGAACGAAAGTGCCCTCCGTCTGAACGCAAGTAGTGGCCCCTCATTTTCCCGTCCGGGGACTAGCTCCCACTTGCACGAATTATGAGATACTGACCGTAGATACCAAAGATCAACGGCCGAAATCTCCTAATTTGCGCAAGTGGGACCTTGCCCCGGGAAAACAACGGGAGCAGTGGGGTCCCGCCTTCCTTTGAAGCTCCGTTCACGGTGGATGGGAGCCTGTATGCGTGGCTCCCCATTTTGCTTTGCAGCCGTGCTGTGGGGTCCACCCCGAAGTCAAAACGAAATTGTCTACCGCGTGGGCGCGGGGAACGCAGCCCTAAGGTAGCCAAATCAATGAGACTAAGAGCTAACACAAGAGAGAGAGAGAGAGAGAGAGAGAGAGAGAGAGA